CCCCCGGCCCATGTGGAAGCAGCAAGCTGGGTGGGTGGTGTAGATGCCACAGTGATGTGGATGAGAAGAGAAAATGGGAGCCTGGGCTCCAACCAAGGAGTGAGCAGAGTTACACTTCTTACTCTCTCATTCATTCAGATAATGTGGAGAAAGCTCTGGATTTCTGCACCCATGCAGTGAGGCAACAGAGGTGGGGAAAGTCAGGCTGGAGAGGCTCTGAAAGAAGCAGGGGTCCCAGCCTGGGTGGGCATGTGTTCCTGATCTGATTCCTCCAATGCTCCAGGTCTTAAAGAGCCATGGACAAGACTACCTTGTTGGCAACAAGCTGAGCCGGGCTGACATTCACCTGGTGGAACTTCTCTACTACGTGGAAGAGCTTGACTCCAGCCTTATCTCCAGCTTCCCTCTGCTGAAGGTGATCCATTTCGCAGCCCAGAGAGGCAGCCCCACATCTCCCATCTTGGGATCTTGTATCTGGGTCCTGGGACTGACCATGTTTTGACCCCAGCCTTCTCCAGGCCTTCAGTGCCCCAGGGTCTCCAAAATCAGCTTCCAGGCTCCAATGTTGAGGAATGAAAACACTTTTGTTATGGAAAGGAAATTTGTGGTGCATGCTACCCCACAAAGAGTATTTTGCCTTTTATCATGGGAAGGACCCAGGACCCAGCACCTCTCCCCATCCCTCTATTTCAATGTGGTTTCTGTTTCTGAATTCTCTGTGACATCCTTTATCCCATATGTGCCCTTGTCTTCCCGCATTCAGTCAGTCTGAGCAGGGCCCTTTCCATCTGGTTTTCTCCCTGGGCTCCAGCTCCTGCTGTCAGACATTGTGTTCCTCTGCACAGCTCTCTAGCACTCTGCCCCCCACACTGTATCGCTCACTGAGAAAAGGTGGTCCCATGGTTTGTCTTTAATATTTTCTATAACTATTCTCTTTCCCAACTAATTTCCCCATATTTTTACTTCTGCTTAGAGACTGATCTGTGTTGATATCTCACAGGCACATTATTTTTTCTTGTCTTATATGAGAGTCACTAATCTACAGGATTAATATGTAAGGAGCAAGATAGGGATGACTGAACTGATTAAAACTTAAAGACATCTTTGGGAAAAATAAAGTGAGCTACATGTTCTTGCTCTTATCTTCATATCAGGGGACATATCTTGCTCTTATCTTCATATCTTCTTATCAGGGGACTCGCTTGGTCTTTGGCAGGAGGGGCTCAGATTCCTTGGGTCGTGTTAATGGTGGTGGCAGGCCTTGGCTTCACTCTGAGGCTGTGCTTTATGAATTACAGGCCCTGAAAACCAGAATCAGCAACCTGCCCACGGTGAAGAAGTTTCTACAGCCTGGCAGCCCAAGGCAGCCTCCCATGAATGCAAAATCTTTAGAAGAATCAAGGAAGATTTTCAGGTTTTAGTAAAGCAGCCATGGAGTCCAAGAACATACAAAACCAATATTCTAAAGTTTTGCAACAATAAAGTGCTTTACCTAAGTGTTGACTGTGCCTGTTGGGAAGCTAATGAACTCGTTCCAATTATATGTTAATTAAATAATACAACTCCTATTCGCCGACTTAGTTAAAATTGATTTCTTTTCATTAGGATCTGATGTGAATTCAGATTTCCAATCTCCTCATAGCCAACCATTTTCTTGGAATTAAAAATTCAGTAAAAAAGGAAACTATAAATTATGTGGTTTGTTTGACTTTTCCAAGAATTGTCCTGTAACAAACAATTTCTCATACAATCTATTAAAATGTCAATGTAGAAATGCTCTTCCGACATTTTCAGGTGTGCACAGGAGAAGAGTTACCATTCTGGGGAATGGCATAAAGACATTTTCTTCTTTTCCTGGACAGTCATTTTATTTCTGATGAAAGCATTCTTTCTTATGCATTTGTAAAATAACGATTCTGTCTGCTACGGATTCCTCAGTTTTCTAGGAGGTGAGGAAATAGTGAAGAGCAAACAGACCCACCCTCTGCTCTCAGGCCACCCTGTTGTCCCTTACAGTGTATGTGCTCCTGGCTCATCCTCACTCTGCTCCTTAAGGCTCCGTGGGGCCCCAGGCCTTCCCTCAGTTCCTTCAGTGCCACTCAGGCCTGGGCTGCCAAGATATAGATGGTATATGTGAATTACATACAAATAAATATATGCAAAATCATTTTTCCCTGGTGTGGCACTGTGCCAGAATGCTTCGATTAGGAGTGCTTTCTAGCTCCGCCCACATACTGGCCTTATAATGTGAATCTCTCTCAGGACACCTGGACTTCTGCAATTTGAGCTCTCCTCCTGTTAGACTGAGCTTCCCCACAGTAGGCAGACGTGGTTGAGGGAGCAGACAGACACACAGGCTTTCTACCTGCAGCTTCACTTTGCTCTAGTCTCTTCACTTACCATCAGAGTAGTTGTTCTAAAATGCAAATTAGAAAAAAAAAATCACAGAATTCTTCAGTGAGTCCTGACTGGATACAGAATGCATCCTCACACCCATCCTCACTCCTTGATCTCCAGCCCAGTCAACCCTCTGAGCATGGTGGGGCCTCTTGCCTTCCTGCCTGGGTGCATGTGCTAGCCCTGCCTGGCAAGCTTCTTCCCAGTGGACACACTTAACACCACCTCATTGCTTCCCAGGAGTGCTGGGCTGTCCTCTGCCTTCCACATAGCCCCAGGGAGCCTCTAGTAACACCTGAGGGCCACTGTGTCTGCTCCCCTGTACTGTGAGCTCATGGTGTGGGGCTTGGCCTGCTGAGTCCCCAGTACTTCTTCACCAACATCTGCACAGACCCATGCACAACTCTATGGACCTCCAGAACCCAGGTATATGAGACTGGGCTTTGAGAACTCACAAACCCCCACATACTCTACCTGTCTCTATTCATTCATCAATTTCTAAAAAAAAAAGACTAATATCTCTCAAACTCTTTGTAAGGACCTTGCTTGGATGCTGACCAAATTAAACAAACTGCTAAGAAATTTTTATGGGACACTTTCATGAACTAGAATGCTGAAGCTCTGGGGAAATTAGGGAATTATAGAATTTTAATATGATAAGAGATTATCATATTAAACATCACAGTGTCATTATGTTTAGAAGAGAAGTTCTTCCTTTCTAGAGATGAATACTAGTATTTACAGGTGAAATGATATGCTGTCTGGGATTCGCTTGAATAGAATCCCATGGTAGTGGAGGGAGTATGTGGGAGTTTGCATCATTTTCTTGTGGCTCCTGTCACAGATTCCTACAAACTGGGTGGCTTGAAACAACAGAAATGCATTTTCTTACAATTCTGAAGGCCAGAAGTCTGAAGTCAGGGTGTGAAGGCCACATTCCCCTGGAAGCTCTAGGGAACAATCCTTCCCTGCCTCCTACAGCTTCTAGGGGCTCTTGGCATTTCTGGACTTTCACGGATCGTGGCCACATCACTCTACTTTCTGCCTGGGGCTTCCAGCACCTCACCCTCTGCGTGTCTGTGTCTTCCGTTCTCTATGTTGCAGAGACGCTTGTCATTGGATTCAGGGCCTATCTGGATATTCCAGGATGATCTCATCTCAAGTTCCTTAACTTCATCTGCAAAGAGGCTTTTTCCGAATAAGGTCACATTTACAGGACCCAAGGATTTGGACACGGACCTCTCTTTCTTGGGAGCCAACATAACGTAATCCACTACCTGGTAGAGATGAAGAAATGTTGCTGGAAACTGATGCATCCAGGTCATGGGTACCTTCAAGCTTGTTATATTATTCCCTCTACTTTTGGATTTGCTAGAATTTTTCCATGTACATTTTAAAACTATCTTATTTCCGGAGCTCCTACGATGTCCATGTTTTGTCCCAGACAATGAGGACTGGACTCAAACAAGATGAAGGCTCTGCCCTCAGGAGCTCAAGGTCTAAGGGGAAATCTGATATTGAATACATCTTGTCAAATTAATGTAGGGAAAGACACAAGAGAGAAAACACAGTGGGAGCTGAAAGTAGAGTATTCCAGTCAGGACAAATACCATGTGCAAAGGCCCAGAGGCCAGGAAGGGTGATTTGAGCAATGCAGAGAGGAAAGAACACAAAAATAGGGCGGCCAGATTTGGCGGATAAGATACAGAACAGCAAAATAAATGTGAATTTTAGATAAACAAGCAATACTTTTTTAGTATAAACATGTTTCCTACAGTGTTTGGGACACACTTATACTAAAAATGACTGATCCTTTGCCTGGAATTCACATTTACCTGGGTGCCCTGTATTTTATGTGGCAACCCAGTAAGAGAAGCCTTCCAGAGGGCCATCAGCCTGCCCTTCACAGACGTACCCTCCCAGCTATGCTCCCAGCAGAGATTTCTCATCTGCCTTAGTCCTTACATCCAAGTCACGAAAAGTGAGTGTCTTCAAAAAGCCAGTTTCCACTGACTTGTAAAGAGAGCAAAATCTGCTGAAATTTTTGGTTAAACTTTTATTGCCAACCTTGAAAAAGAACATATTAACCAGTTACCTTGTGATAAGAGGATGACTTGCCATTTTTCTCAGAATCTAGTAGGCAGTCCTGCGGCCCTGAAATGTGTGGGAGTGGCTGTTTTTAACTTGACTCTATTCCTTTCAATGGGAGGGAGCCACTGAAATGACCATGTAGTATATAAGCCACATTAGGACCTCAAATTAAGCTGTTGAGTCACGAGGGTGAACCTTTAACAAAGTAAACACTGATCTTATAAATCTTTCTACACTGCCTCACACCATCTCATCTAGGTCACTAGAAAAAATACTTTTTTTTTTTTTTTTTTTTTTTGAGACGGAGTCTTGCTCTGTTGCCCAGGCTGGACTGCAGTGGCCGGATCTCAGCTCACTGCAAGCTCCGCCTCCCGGGTTTACGCCATTCTCCTGCCTCAGCCTCCCGAGCAGCTGGGACTACAGGCGCCCGCCACCTCGCCCTGCTAGATTTTTGTATTTTTTAGTAGAGACGGGGTTTCACCGTGTTAGCCAGGATGGTCTCGATCTCCTGACCTCGTGATCCGCCCGTCTCGGCCTCCCAAAGTGCTGGGATTACAGGCTTGAGCCACCGCGCCCGGCCTACTTTGTTCCCATATAAAGAGTCTCTTTCTGATTATCGAGTTGACACAATATATCCAAAGCAACTGAATGCACGACTCAAACTGTCATCCAACCACACAAAGAGGGCATTGATGTGAGTATGAAACTGATTTTTTTATTATACTAAGGACACATTTAATGTGAGGTAGAGCTATAGATGGGCAGCAAGGGTGGAATCCTGATGGAGGCTCAGCACGGTTAATAGTGTAAAAGAAAGAGACTGAGCACGGTGTATTCAAAGAAAGAGAAGACGCTCAGTCTGAGTGAAGCATTAAAGCGCAAGGTAGCAGGAGTGATGATGAGGTAGGATCCGGGAACAAGGCCTGCAGGCCTAGGGACTTTGAAGGCCATGACAAGAAGTTTGGATTTTGTCCTGAGAAAAGAGGGAGCTGTGGAAGTATATACCTTGCTTTGCCAAACTGGCATCCATAAAATAAAATCACAGCTTTTAAATATTCATTTTCAGTCACTTAAGCATCCATCTTAGAATAGCAAGAACATTCTTTCCCTCTGGGAGTCTCTTTCCTATGTTAAAAGATAAATTTAGGCACATTAAAATTTTAAAGAGTTTATTTTGAGCAGACAGACATTCATGAATCAGGCAGTGCCAAACCACAAGAAATTTGGGCTTCACTGAGGTGGGTGTGAGTGGAAAATTTTGGAAAGGTGTTTATGGAAGCAAAACAAAGAAAATATTTGCTTGGTTAAGGTGAAAAGTCACTAGTTAGAATTTAGTTGGCAGTTTCTGATAGGTTAATTTTAAGTTTCTTGTTTTCCTAGGACATGACCTTCATGCCGAGTTGAGCTTTAGCTTGCTTACGTAAGACTCAAAGCACTGGGGAAATCTCAACCTACTGGCCTCCTAATTAATTAATACCCACATCAAATCCAACAATACAGGGGCTTATTCTATTCAAGGAGTCAAGTAGCCCTGAGATCAGTAGAAAATTCTATCAGTCTCTGCTGCTATCTGCCACATGGAGTTCCTGTTGTCCCATGGACTTCATGATCTGAGGCGGTTTGGTTGAAACACTGGCCACAATTTGTCCATGTGAGTCCCAGTATCTTCATTCTCTAGCCCTTCACAGGAAGAAAGAGGAGGTCTCCCTCCCTGCTATCCCTCAGGCCTGGGATCTCAAAATGTAGGTGGATATATAATCATTTTTCTCTGGCATGCCACTGTCCAGGAGAGATGAGGATGGAACAATTTCTAGCTTCAGCCATGTACTAAGCCCATAACTTACGCTTCCCCAGAAAATCTAAGATCTAGGGGGTTAGACCCAGGGCACAGGTCCCGATTGTACATTTCCATAATGTCAGCTTTGCCACAACTGGGTGTGTTAGGGCAGACAGACACGTGGGACTCATGGCTCATGTCCTTTACATCTACTAAGGGTTAGGTCAATTCAACCCAACCAAGATATTCCAAGATATCTTCCTAAGAGGTTCCCAGTTCCCTTTACACATTTACCTGCTTCCTCTTCAGCAGGTAAACATCCCAGCGGTAGATTCTTGTACTCTCACTCTGCAATAGAGTTTTCAACCTGATCATACCCAGCCTTCCCCAGTTTACAACAGATATTTTATAATTTATTATTATTATCCTGAAGTGAACTTTATAAGATTTACCTCATAATGGTTGCTGCTGGGAATACAAGATGAATAAGGTATAATAATCCTAGCCTTTGAGGGGTGCATAATTAACCCCAAGGAAAAAGATTTGCATATAAAGTATTACGAGTCAATATGTAAATTTATATTAAAGAAGGTTCCTGCAGGTGGCAAAATGACCTCTCAAAAAGAGTGGCTGAAGAGGCCGGGTGCAGTAGCTCATGCCTATAATCCCAGCAGCTTGGGAGGCTGAGGCAGGTGGATAAGTTGAGGTTAGGAGTTTGAGATCAGCCTGGCCAACATGGCAAAACCCTGTCTCTACTAAAAATACAAAAATTACCCAGCATGGTGCCACACACCTCTAGTCCCAGTTATTCTGGAGGCCGAGGCAAGAGAATCGCTTGAGCCCAGGAGACAGAGGTTGCAATGAACCTAGATTGTGCCATTGCACTCCAGCATGGGTGACAGAGCCAGACTCCATCTCAAAAAAAAACCCCAAGAAAAAAAAAAAACACAAAAAACAACCAACCAAACAAAAAGAGTGGCTGAAGAGAGTTTAATGAAATAACTATTGTATTAGTCTGTCCTCATGCTGCTATAGAGAAATACCCAAGACTGGGTAATTTATAAAGGAAAGAGGTTTAATTGAGTCACAGTTTCACGTGGCTGGAGATACCTCAGGAAACTTACAATCATGGTGGAAGGCACCTCTTTACAGGGCGGCAGGGGAGAGAATGAATGCCCAGAGAATGGGGAAGCCCCTTATAAAACCATCAGGTCTTGCGAGAACTCACTCACTATCATGAGAACAGAATGGGGGAAACTGCCCCCATGATTCAATTATCTCCACATGGTCCCTCCCATGACACATGGGGATTATGAGAACTACAATTCAAGCTGAGATTTGGGTGGGGATACAGCCAAACCATATCACCTATTTACAAACTGGGGAAGGGTTAAGCCATCATAAGGGATGATGAAGCACTCTGGGGCTCTACTTCCCCTGGGAGACAAGAGCAGAAAGCAGCACAGGGATCTAGGAAAACACTGAGAGTCACGAGAGTCACAGCTGCAGGAAAAGTCTGCACCAACAGGAGCTGACAGCTTTCATAGAGAAAGACCCACTGTCAACTTAAGTAGCCCTGAAGACATGGACAGTTTATAAATGACTGGAAATTATGACGATAATTTATTACTGATTTGCTCTAAAGTGTTATCCATTTTATGCTATATATAGTTTAGTGTAGTTAGAAAATAAAGGGAAATTTATTTTTAATTTTGGGTATATATACAGATTTATATATTTACCATGCCAGATGTTAAATATTATGAATATCATTCCTGGGTAGTCTGTGACATAAAAGTATGAAGATTTTTGTTAAGAAGTAATTAACATTTGGTATTTAATATTTACACCATCCACCATTTTCATAGTGAGTTTATATATATGTCTGTGTGTGTGTATGTAATTGAAGTGGATCTTAATTTCTCTGCACTGGGGGAACTGGGTCAATATTTGAGCCATTAGGTATATCAACTTGCCAGTTTTCTGGGATATTCTTGAAGAACAAACATGTTTTAGCAACATTCTGCCAATTAGAGCTGCTTAAATGAGGCAGCTGTGAGTCAGCACAAATTTAGTCTGTGTTGACTTTGCTCTGCCTTGCCTCCTATATTTCTCCAATCTTTACTCACCTTCCCTCTGCACTCAGCAGCTTTGTTTCAATATATTTGTCCTTTGAACCTTTGAATACAGTTGCAACATTCTAAGTCAACAGGGCAGCTAAGCATACCTAGCAGAAAAAAAATTTCGACTTTAACCTCAGAAACTGACAAAATCTTCTCAAGGATTATGGTTCCAATAAATACTGTTTAAAGTATTTTATTCATAGTTCTATTCAGTAAACATTTATAGAGCACCTACTTTGTTCCCTGAATTGTTTTAGGGACAGAGAATGCCAGGAAAGACTAAGTCCTGAATGACAGGAACCAGAAGATCCAGTGTGAGAGGGTCTTAGTCAGAGGGAACAATGAGACAGGGTGTTAGTCAGGAACAAGTTGGGTGTGTTTTAGGTACACTGGTGTTTGGGAGCATGGTGAGGAAGTATTGAAAGATGAGGCCAGTATGGGTGTATTAGTTACCAATTGTTGTATACCAACTCACCCCGAAGTTTAGGGACTTAAAGCAACAAATATTTATTATCTCACACAGTTTCTGACGGTCAGGAATCTGGGAGCAGCTTAGCTGGGTGGTGAATCAGCATTTCTCAGGACGTTGCAATCAAGTCACTAACAAAGGCTGCGTCAGCGGAGGGCTTGACTGGGGCTAGTGGATCTCTTTCCAAGATGGCTCACTCACATGGCTGTTGGCAGAGGCCTCAGTTCCTCTCTGAAAGTTGGCAATACATCTCACTTCTTTGGCATGTCTGCTTCTCTGTAGGACTGCTTGAATGTCCCCAGGACATGGCAGCTAACTTTCTCTGGAGTATGGAAGCAAGAGGGAAACTACAATGTCTTTTATGACCTAGTATTGGAAGTCACACCTCTGAAGATAGAGAAGGGCCGAGGAGATCGCCTCGGGGGAGAGAGCAGGTGGAGAAGAGAAGGCTGGGTGGAGCCAGCCAAGGCATCTGAGGAGGAGGGGTCAGTGAAGTAGAAGGAAGTCCAAGAAAGTGTGGCTTTCTTGTTGGCATCATGAGGCCAACAGATAGGCAAGAGGACAGAAGAGTGGCATTGAATTTGGTACCACGGAGGCTACTGCTGACCTGAGGAGAGAAGATGGGGACACAAGCCTGACTGGAGTGGGTTGAGGAGAAAATGGGACATGAGGCAGTGGAAATACCAGCTACCTACAGCCTTTTTGAGAAGTTTGCTCCGAAAAAGGGCATATGATTGGGACAGTAGACTTCCTCAGTGATCTAGAAGAGGAAGGGAAGGTTGAGTAGGCTGGGCTCAGTTTCATTTGCAATTGTGGAAAGTCGCCTAAGAGTGGCTGAGGCTGCGCACTGAACTCTTTACAGCCGCCAGGGAGGTCCCTTGGCTCTGGGCAGTGCGCCATCTGGTGCTCAGTCATGGAGTCAGAGTTAGGCTAACACAGTAGGTTGGGCAATCCCTTTGCTGGAACAGAAAGGTTTTTTTTCTCGTACATTTTAAATTCAAGTTGGAGTAAACTGCCAAAAGAACAACTTAAAAAATGCTGACTGAATGGCGGAAGTGGAAAGTTCACCTCACTTCCTTTTAACCCCTTCCAACTTATTCCATTTCGTCTTTCTTTCTTACTCCCTCATCCTCTTCACCTTAATCCGTGAGTCTCTCTGTTTCCTTTTCTACTGTCCATTTCTATGACGCAGAATCTAATGATGCAGCTACAAGCCAAGAAACACCAAAGATTGCTGGCAGCCACCAGAAACCAGGAGAGAGGCCGGGAACAGATTATCCCTTAGAGCTTCCAGAAGAAGGAACCAGCTTTGCTGACATCTGGATTCTGGACTTTTAGCCACTAGACTTGTGCAAGAATAATTTCTGCTGTCTAAGCCACCCAGTTCGTGGTAATTTGTTACAGTGGCCACAGGAAAAGAATTCAACTACTTTGCAATAAAAAAAAGGAATGCGTACATACAAAAGCATAGATGAATTTCAAAATAGTTGTGCTGCGTGAAAGACACCAAACAAACAAAATACCTGCTGTATGCTTCTATTTATATAAACTTCTAGAAAATGCAAACTAACTCATTGTGACAAAAAGCAGATGAGTGGTACGGGACCAGGCAGGAGAAAGGGATTTCCAAAGGGCATGAGGATGTGAATAAGTTCATTATCATGATTATGATGATAGTTTCATAGGTGTATGTGTATGTTAAAACTTAGCCAGTTGAGGCTGGGCATGGTGGCTCACTCCTGTAATCCTAGCACTTTGGGAAGCCGAAGCAGACGTATCACCTGAGGCCAGGAGTTCAAGATCAGCCTGGCCAACATGGCAAAACCCCGTTTCTACCAAAAATACAAAAATTAGCTGGGCGTGGTGGCACACTCCTGTAGTCCCAGCTACTTGGGAGGCTGAGGCATGAGAATCACTTGAAATCAGGAAGTGGAGGTTGTAGTGAGCTGAGGTCACGCCACTGCATTCCAGCCTGGGGGTGACAGAGGGAGACTCATCTCAAAAACAAAAATGAAAACAAAACCGAAAAATGTATCCAGTTGTACACTTAACTCTGTACACTTTTTTTTTTTTTTTGAGACAGTGTCTCGCTCTTGTCACCCAGGCTGTAGTGCAATGGTGCAATCTCAGCTCACTGCAACCTCCCTCTCCCAGGTTCAAGTGATTCTCCTGCCTCAGCCTCCCAAGTAGCTGGGATTACAGGTGCCCACCACCACACCCAGCTAATTTTTTGTATTTTTAGTAGAGATGGAGTTTTGCCATGTTGGCTAGGCTGGTCTCAATATTTCATATATATATATATAATATATTGTATATAATACATTATATAAAATACACATATATTTTAAAGTGTCAATTATATCCCCTAATACAGTAATAAAACTAATAGATGGAAATAAACGATCACAAATTTATCATGTAGATAAGCATGCTGTACAATCCCTCTGCTCTCCAGCTGGTCTCCTCAGCTGCCTCTGTCCTTTGGAAGGCTTCCTTCTACTTAGAAACCGGCCCAGGTCTCCACTGTCCTAACCTTCTTAGCCATGCACCCACACTCAGAAGAAACCAACAAACACTCCACAGCAAATTTTTAAAATTCTTTATCCTTGGCTAGTTTTCCCTTTTGCTATTTCCTTCTTTCTTTTCACGTCCAAAACTTCAGTAGTCTACACTCTAGCTCTCCTTCCTCTCTCAAAGTCTTGAATTTTAATTTCTGAATTAATGAACTAATCATCTTAGTTCTATGAGTTTCAAGGTCTTTTCTCAGTCTATCTTTAACTTCTATGCTGCAAATACCAGCCCAACTTCCCTTTCCATCAGCAACTTTCTGCCGCAGTCTCCCACTCTTCGCCAAGCACTACTGCTCAGATTTTCTTGTGGCTCATTTTTTCTTAGTTTCATGATTTATATCTCTTCTTTGCCAACATGTTGTCACGTGGATCCCACCCAGTCCTGCTTCATGTCAAAAGGCCAGGATTTTCTTGAAATAAATAACACGTAATTAAGGACAGCCCTCCTGCCTCCATAGCACAGCCCTGTGAAGAAAGCTATGAAAAGATTCCCGAGGCTGACGTTGGGCAGTGAACAAGTGAACAGAGCATTTAGCAGGGCAACTTGGATGCATCTCTGAAATGGCGTGGCCACTATTCCACTCACTGCACTCCACTCCTTATCTTGAAATGTTCTCCCCACTGCTCTCTGCCAGTCCGTATCAACGTCTTCTGCATCATGACACCTTCACAAATACTGGACATTCCAACAAGGGGTCTTTCTAAATCTGTATTTCTTTCCATGCTGCCCCCACATCCTGAAGTGACAGTTTTGTCATTCTAATATTGGGGAAGATATGGAAGAGGATGGCAGTAGAGGTGGAGAAGCAGCTCTCACATAGTAGGAAGGTGGCTATTAGGTATTGTAGGTGAAAGCCAGGACTCATGCATCTGAGATGAGGATGCACTGAAGCTGATTAAAATTCTGTTATTATACATCCTCATCCTATTGTTCTACCTCAAGACCTGTGCATGCTTTCTTCTAAGGCTGCCCTCAATACTGGTTGTTCTGGTATTGTAAGGAAACCAAGAAGGAAGAATCAAGCATCAAAACTCAACACATCTAGTGCTCCCCTTTAGTTTACAGATGAAAGCACTGGGGTTCAGAGAGGTTGAAATTTATCTAACGTCACAAAGCTGATCAATGGTAGAATCAGCCTAGAACCCAGGTTTTCAGAATCACTGGCAACAGCCTTTTCCATTTATCCACTGATTCAGCAAATAATTTTTTTAGTTCTAATCTATAAAATGCTGCAGTAGGACAGAGATACAGTGCTGAACAAGATGGGACAAAGGCCTTTGACCTCAAGGAATTCGCATTGTAGTGGGAGGAGACAGACTACAAACAAAAAAGAAAAAGTGATAAATATCTCAGTAATTATAGCCTATGATTGGGATGTGAAGGAAATTAAGCAGGGACTATGAATTAGATTGTTCTCAGGTTGCTAATTAAAAGACATACCCAAGTCTGGATAGTTTATAGAGGAAAAAGTTTTAATAGACTCACAGTTCCACATGGCTGGGGAGGCCTCACAATCAGGGAGGAAGGCTAAAGGCACATCTTACACTACGGCAGGCAAGAGAGAATGAGAACCAAGTGAAAGGGGTTTCCATTTATAAAACCATCAGATCTCGTGAGACGTATTCACTACCATGAGAACAGTATGAGAAAAAACGCTCCCGTGATTCAGTTCTCTCCCCCCCACGACACATGGGAATTATGGGAACTACGATTCGAGATTTGGGTGGGGACACAGCTATTATCAGACTATAATAGAGAGTAGCTGGGGAGAGCTTTACTTTAGATGAATGGTAAGGGAAACATAAAAATTGAGAGAAAACTAGGCATGCAGAGATGGAAGGGAGGTTCTGGGGCAAAGGAACCAGCATTTTCATGGGTTTGAAGAGAGAAAGTGCTCAGTGTCTTTGTGTACCCCAAGCCGAAGGAGGCCCCTGGGGCTTGGCTGAAAAGTAGAGGGCAGGGACATGGCTTGAGGAGGGGGGTGGCAGGTGGCAGATGACTCACTCCCGTTAAGTCCTGTTAAGGAGTTTGGATTTTATTCTAGGTGAAATGGGAATCCAATGGCTGGCCCTCTTCCATACAGATTTTGCCCAGAAGACACAGTATTTTGGGAGGTATGGTTCCACACTACAGCTATTTGAAAGCATAACTGGAACTTATGAGGAAAAATCCATCTGCTTCTGTACCAAAAAAGACTGAAGAAAAAAACTGAAAATCAGTCGTAGTGTGTGGATTTGCCAAAATACATTAAATTACTTTTCTGGAGTCTAGTGGATAAGTATCTTAGTCCATTCAGTGGCTGGAACAAAATGCCGTAAACTGAGGTGTTTATAAGCAACAGAAATTTATTTCTCACTGTTCTGGATGCTGAGAAGTCTGAGGTCAAGGCTCAGGCAGATTTGGTGTCTGGTGAGGGCCTGTTTCTTCATAGACGGTGTATTAGTCTGTTCTCACAGTGCTATAAAAATACTGCCCAAGCCTGGGTAATTTATAAAGGAAAGAGGTTTAATTGATTCACAGTCTCACACGGCTGGGGAGGCCTCAGGAAACTTACAATTACGGCAGAAGGCAAAAGGGTAGCAAGGACCTTCTTCACATGGTGGCAGGAGAGAGAACTGCAAGCAGAAGAAATGCCAAACATTTGTAAAACCATCAGATATGGTGAGAACTCACTCACTATCATGAGAATAGCATGGGGGAAACTGTTTCCCATGATCAGATCACTTCCCTTCCTTGACACATGGGGATTACGATTCAAGATGAGATTTGGGTGGGAACATAGAGCCAAACCATATCAGTCCATGCCTTTTTGCTCAGTCCTCACGTGGTAGAAGGGGCAAGCAAACTCCCTTGGGCCTCATTTATAATGGCCCTAAGGGCACTAATTCCATTCATGAGGTCTCTGTCCTCATAACCTAGGCACCTCCCAAAGGCCCTACTTCTTAATGGCATCACCTTGGAGATTAGGTTTCAACATATGAATTTTAGGGGGACGCAAACATTCAGACCATAGCAATAAGTAGGTTGGTAAAATTTCTAAAATAAATGAATTATGCTGACATAAACAGGGCAGCTACTAACTCATAACTATAACTGAGGTTGCTATTTGCCAGGTACAGCTCACAGAGAAAGTAAATGTCAATCAAAACATTTTAACAGAACAATTTAAATATACTCAAAGAGCATCCCCCTTAAACTCATCAAATCATTTCAAAACTAAAAGCAGACCTGTGAATGTGGATAATTGCCTCTAATATCATGTTTTATAAGTTAGTATTTTTATGTTAAGTTTTCTTAAAATGAAGCTTCCAGTATAAGGATGCATGTTTGCACTTAAACGTATGGTCCACACACATACACATACATGAAGAAAACACGTACCAAACGCTTAAGGGCTGAATTGCACTGAATTACGAAGTTCCATGTTTTAAGGTTCACAATTTTTAAATGCTGGATTAATATGTAACATGTCACTGAGATTTCTTAAAGAAAGAATTGATTTTGCTTAATTTTTTTCAATACAGTTTAAATAAGCTAACTTTTTTGCTTATCTAGCTATCTCTGATTATTTTACAAAGCTTTATTTTCCACTGTTGGTAACAATTTAGTTACTAGTGCCAAGCAATGTCCTGCAAGGATAGTGAAGTGCAGACCTTTCTAAGTGAGAACAGTATGTGCCAAGGCAACATCTTCGTGGGAGCAAAGAAATCTCACTTTATATCACAAGCAGGACATAAAGATTTTCTATAAACCAGAAAATATGTATTCAATATTCAAGGAATCATGAGCTTGTACTGTGTGCTAGCTTACTGAATTGACTTTTTCATAGAAAGGAAAATCTTTATTCTTCCTCTGAAATTGCCCAAGAATCCACATGACTAAAACCCAGTTTGAGTAGACCAAGCAGAATGGAGGCATAATGCCAAGATGGCTGAAGATACATTTCCAGAATCCTAGGCTGAGGATAAACATAATTTTAAAAGGCATATAGTTACTGGTCTATTTAATTCCTTTTGTTCTTACACACATTAAAGATGGAATTACTGCCTTTGATTTTTTACTTTAGAGGCACACTTGAAAGCTGTGAAATTACCTACTTAGCAGCTTTGCCTGCCTGCTAACGTTCTTCTGGCTAGAACAAGGTAAATGCACAGTAATTGCTTCTTATCTCACCTTTTCTGCAAATAGGTAGAGGGAAATGATTGATGTTCATGGTCTATTGAGTCTTTTTTAAAATAATTTCCCTTAAATAAAAGATAGATTTGGAAGTAGTTACAAAAGGAAAGAAAGAGCTAGAGAAAGCTGGTGCAAGATGATATTCTATTAATATCCATTGCTTGGAGTTCTGTTTGGTGCCATTTGACTGAGGAAGTCACCACTTTATCTCAAGCAAATAAGTTCAGTTGTTAAAAATGCAGGGAATTTTCTAGAATGTGCTTACTATATGCTTAAAACTTAAGTCACAGATACTGAGAATTATTTCCAATTTATCCTAAGTTTAAAATAAAGCGAGAGTTTAAATGAAAGCCAAAATCACAACTAAAATGATTTAAAATGAATTAACCTTATTTATTCAGTTATAGCTAAATACTCTCATTATTCTCTTACCTCAAATCAATAATAGATATTAATTTGAATGAATAGATTAGAGATTTACCATTATATTCTAGATGTATAAATTATTTTTAGAATAATAGACATATGAACACACACTATGAAAAATATATTTCTAAATAAATCAGCAATCTGTTTCTCACGAATTTTCATTTTGAGTTTATTTGAATCTTTTTTTTTGAGCTAGGGTCTCACTCTGACACTCAGGCTAGAGTACAGTGGTGTGATCATGGTTTACTGCAGCCTCTGCCGTAAGAGATCCTCCCGTGCTCAAGTGATCCTCCCCCCTCAGCCTCCCTAGTAGTTGGAACTACTGGCACTCACCACCATACCTGGCTAATTTTTGCATTTTTTTGTAGAGACAGGGTTTCACTATGTTGGCCAGGCTGGTCTCAAAGTCCTGGGCTCAAGTGATTGGCTAGCGTTGGCCTCCCAAAGTGCTGGGATTACAGGCCTGAGCTACTGTACTTGGCTTATTTGAATTCTTTATAGGTCTTTTTTGGTTACATGGTTAATTGAAGTCGTTTCATATAAATTACTTAGTTTTTGATTTGTACTTTTATATAATTGTATGTTCTTCAAATTATCAGAATGATAATACATCTTTTTGAAGATGACCCACTCGTTACCTAGCTTCATTTTATTATAGGATATAAACACTCAATAAAAGCACCCAAAAGTCAGGACATTTTGACTTGAAATATTTAATCCAGACAATAAAGCTAGACACTTGGATTTAGAAGTTAAGATTTAGAAAAGCTTAAAACACTGCCAGTCTTGCTTTTTCAGAATAAATCTTATTCAGACCATCTTTCTGGGATTCTAAAACTCAGGTCTATCAGAGCCTCAGAAATTGTTGTGAAGAACAGACTTTTGAATACAAAACAAGATAATATTCCCTCTGCTCCCTGTAATATAAATGCATTTGTTGTGTGGCATATTTTCTATTATAATTGATATTGTACAGATTGTTAAAATTGATTATAAGCAATGTCCACTCTGTCAAGGAAACATTGTGTTATATATGGAGAGAGAGATGAATCAGTTTGCAAATTCAAGTGTGAAAGACTATATTTCTAAAACTGAATTTTGTTGTGAAGAACAGACTTTTGAATGCAAAACAAGATTATATTCCCTCTGCTCCCTGTGATAAAAATGCATTTCTTGTGTGGTTTATTTTCTTTTGGTAATTGATATTTTACAGATTATTAAAATTTATTCTAAGCAATGTCCACTCTGAAAGCGAAATGTTGTGCTATATGTGAAGAGAGAGATGAATCAGTTCACAACTATATTTCTAAAACTGAGTTTCATTTCTATTTTGAGTCCCATTTCATTAGGGAACATAAACCAAATTTAACCCAACTAAATCTGTTGGGTCTCTTCCCCAACACACACCCTCAATTTTTTCTAAGGTTCCATCTAAGTTCCTATCCTGTCCTCAACAGACATCTGTCCACACAGGAGCCTGCCAAGACATTCTCATTCCCATCTAGTCTCGAGGTGATAGTCTTTACAGATGACTGCAATACCCACTTCATTACCACCACCAGGTCTGTTTCATTTGGAACTGTGCATTGCTGGAACAAGGAGAGCTCTGAGGCTGTCTGAAGCCTATCGGCCTAGGCGCAGCATCTAGGCATTTCTACTTAACGCTAGTGAGTCATCTGGGTTTTCGAGAAGTAATGCAAGGTTTCCCATGGTCTCAGATACCCTAAACTATACTGGGAGTCTGGCATGTCTTATCTGCCTCCTCTAAAATTTGACGAGGCTGATGTGAGAAAAGAGAAGGTTTTCCTAACGACTTGAGTGTCTAAAGTCTCTTCCTTCCCGGTGTAACTCTATTCCTCTACCTCATTTCCAGAAGGTAGCTACACGGTTCACCAATTCTTCTAAATCATTTGTTTTTGGCACTTGCAGGATTGGAAATAGCAGTAAATTTTTTGGCCTTTCTCCTAAAGAGAGATGGGATATAATTCCCTCCCCTTGGGTCTGGGCTGGCCTTGGTGACTTACTTAAAACCAACAGCATATGATGACAATACCGCCTTGTGACTTTTGAAGCTAGATCAGAAGAAGCTTTGCAGCTTCTGCTTTGGTCTCCAAACACTCACTCTCCATGCGCTTCCTCCAGGAACCAGCCACCATGCTGTGAGAAGCCCAAGCAATGTCCAGAGGCCATAGATGAGTACTTTAGTCAAGAGCTCCAGCTGAACTCTTAGCCAAAAGGCAGCATCCATTGCCAGCCGATGAGGAAGCCTCTTGGATGCTCAGCCCACACGAGCCTTTGGCTTGTTCCTGTTCCAGTCAACATCTGAGTGACACTTCATGAAAGACTTGAGGCAAGAATCACTCAGCTGAGCCCCTTCTCAATTCCCAAACCACGAAATTGTGTGCAAATTTAAATGACTGTTTTAAGCTACTGAATTTTGGTGTAATGTTTCATGCCACAATAGATAATCAGAACATGGAATATATTTTGCACATTTTGAAGCTCAAAATCCAGGCTTTTGCAACTCCAAAGTCTCAGCATTTTCATTTCTCTGATATTCGATGAGTTGTGAATTTGCGAAGTGATTCATCTCTTTCTCCATATATAACATATTTCCTTTCCAGAGTGGACATTGCTTAGAATCAATTTTAACAATCTGT